GGCAGGAAAAGGATTCAAAAGGTGCGGTATAGGGCAGGGGAAAACAAATTGGTATGCGCAAGTGGAGATTTAAACGTGCAGTGGATACGTTGGGTGAGTGGTGGTTTATAGAACAGGATAGCTGATGGTGGTGAAATGCAAACAGGAGAGGAGGGAACCGAGGAGATACAAGAGCAGCACACTGATTGCTGGATAGTGCTTACAGGTGTACGAGCTTTGTCATGGCAGCAATCACACCACTAGGGATGGAGCCAGTGAGCAGGTTGGTACCGAGAGACCTGGGAATTTGGGATCAAACGAGGATATGGAATGTAGGGGGGGAGGCGATACAGGAAGCAATTTAAGCGGGGGAGGGCGCCAGGAGCGTCGGGGGGAATAGACATAAAGAGTTGCACAAGCACATGCACAAGCACAAGCACAAGCACAAGCACGAGCACATGCACGAGCACATGCACATGCACATGCACGAGCACAAGCACAAGCACTTGCACAAGCACATGCACAAGCACAAGCACAAGCACAAGCACGAGCACATGCACGAGCACATGCACATGCACATGCACGAGCACAAGCACAAGCACTTGCACAAGCACATGCACAAGCACGAGCACATGCACAAGCACGAGCACATGCACAAGCACATGCACAAGCACGAGCACGAGCACAAGCAGCCTTCATGGTTTCACAACAGCATTTTTGACATATCCAGGCATATGTTATTTGTCTACTTGTCTTGTCACCCTTCCAGAGGCTTACCTTCTTACCCACTTCACTCGTGTGTGACTCACAGGCTAGTTATGATAGAGAGTGTGCTAAACCCAGAGGGAATGGTTCCTGAGTGCTGGTTGTTTGAAAGATCACTGAAAAGGGCAAGCGAACACATGCAGAGCAGTTGAAGGGCTGACGGTTTTCATGAACGGTTGTGATAAACCGTAGTTTCATCACGTGGCAGGAGAGATGGGAAAACAATGGCATGGTACCTAGACTGTCCTTTCACGCAGAATCAATTCACCGGTTGCAGTTGTGACAGCCAGACGGAAAAAAAAAAACAAAAAAAACAAAAAAAAAAGAAGAAACAAACCAGAGGAGTAGATTGAATGAATTTATCTCACAGGGTTGACAGTTTGTTCATCAAGCTAATCTGAGGCGGGATGGCGCCGGTAAGCAGGTTGGACGAAAGAGACCTGCCCATGGAAGTGCAAGAGTGTGGCGTTGAAAAGACAGTGGAATGCGAGAAGATGGGTCACTGCCAACAGTAAAGGGTTTAGGGATAGGGTTGTTCAATTGAAATGGTATTGACTGGAGGTAGTAAAGTCAACATAGCAGCTGCGGCCGCGCCTTGCAACTCTGCATCCAGGTACACACGCCAGGAGGTAGGCTCTGCTCTGCTGTGTTGTCTGTATCCCCCAAAGGTGGACACTGAATGGTTGGTTGCACGACACTGAATCACAAGCAGCCTTAGAAGTGTTGTTTGTCCATGCTTTATTCTTCCATGTGTTATTCGGCTGTGTGTCATTTGTCCATTCGTCTCATTGCCCTATCAGAGCCGAGACTTACCTTCTTGCCCACTTCACTCGTGTGTGACTTACAGGCTCGTTAGGAGAGTGAGTGTGCTAAACGCAGAGGGGATGGTTCCTGAATGCTGGTTGTTTGAAAGATCGCTGAAAGAGGCAAGCGAACACATGTAGAGCAGTGCAGGATCAAGTTATGGATGGCATTCATGATAGCCAGACAGGAGGGGGGGAATATATAGGAGAATTTTTAAAACAAAAAATCAAGCGAACAAATCCGAGCAGTAAATTGAACATATTCATTCTTACATGATTGATAGATTGCTCAGCACGCTAACCTGAGGAGGGATGAGTTTTGAGTCGACTGAAAAAGTCGCCTCTTTTGAGTCGACTCAACAGTCATTCTTACAGGATTGACAGTGCTTTCAACAAGCTTATCCCCGGCGGGATGGCGCCGGTAAGCAGGTTGGATGAAAGAGACCTGCCCATGGAAGTGCAAGGGTGTGGTTTTGAACAGACAGTGGAATGCGAGAAGATGGGTCATTGCCAACAGGTAAGGGTTCAGGCATAGGGTTGTTCAATTGGAAGGGTAAGAGTTTGACTTTGAAAGGGTGTTGACTGGAGGCAGTAAAGTCAACATAACAGCTGGGGGCCGTGCCACTCTGCTCTAAGTACACACAGGGAGGTATGCTCTGCTGTGCTCTCTGTATCCCCCAAAGGTGGACACTGAATGGTTGGTTGCACGACACTGAATCACAAGCAGCCTAAATGAACTGTTTCTCCAAACGTCTCACTTTTCAGAGCAGAGGTTTACCTTCTTACCCACTTCACTCGTGTGTGACTCACAGGCTAGTTAGGAGAGAGAGCGTGCTAAAACCTGCGGGAATGGTTCCTGAATGCTGGTTGCTTGAAAGATCACTGAAAGGGGCAAGCGATCACATGTACAGCAGTTGAAGGGCTGACGGTTTGATTGAAGGACGGTTGTGATGAACCATAGGTATGGTTACTGAGGGCTAGTAGAGAGGGTGAACTGACGGTTCTCATCACATAACAGAAAAAGAGATAGCAAAACAAAGGCATGGTACTTGGACTGTCCTTTCATGCAGATACAAGTTACAGCACGCTATTCTGAGGAGGAATGACTTTTGAGTCGACTTAAAAGTCACCTCTCTTGAGTCGACTCAAAAAGTCACCTTTTTTGAGTCGACTGAAAAGCCATTCTTACAGGATTGTCAGTTTGTTCAGCAAGCTAATCGTGGGCGGGATGGCGCCGGTAATCAGGTTGGACGAAAGAGACCTGCAGGCATGGAAATGCAAGATTGTGGCGTTGAACAGACAGTAAAATGCGAGAAGATGGGTCATTGCCAACAGTTAGGGGTTGCAAAGGTGGAGAGACGGTGTTCCCAAAGGTGGACACTGAATGGCTAGTTGCCTGACAAGGTATGCCGAAATTTGTTGAATGGAGAGTCAGACGTGGTGAGAACAGGAATGGTGTGGTGAGAACAGGTATGGAGTGGTGAGAACAGGTTTATCCCGAAATGGCTCCAGCCTGACTTGAATTGGAACCTCGAACCAATTCGACTTGAACTGCTTGGTTGCAAGGAGAGTGCAGACAACTGGTTGTTGTCTTACAGGATCGAGAGTGCAGTGAGCTTTGAGATCGTGCTGGGTATGGTTCCTGAAAGCTGGTTGGAGTTGAGGTAGCTGACGGAAGGGATGCAGAGGCACAGCAACATGAGGAAGAAGACCAGAGATCTTTCGTTCTAGTGCAGAGGATGAGCAAGGCGCTCGCATTTGATGAGGAAGGCAAGAGAGGGGAAGAAGAAGGCCGGAGATTTCTCTTGCATGCACTGCGCTGAAGAAGACCAAACATGGTGTGGTGTGGCTGCAGCATGGTCTTGAGGCGCCTCAAAAGAGTGCGTCAAAGGCCTCACATGGTGTGCTGGAGAACATGGTGAGTGACTGCAGCAGAGCATGGTGACTGACTGACTGCAGAACAAAACAACCATGAGTCGGAATGTGGACGGACAGCAAGGCGCATGCGGATCTACGATGGGCAAAATGGCGAGGCAAACCATGGTGTGAGTCTGTCTGACTGCTGACCCACGAACCACGGGCAGGAAGGAACGAGAGGAACTTGAAGTGTGTTTATACGAGCTTAGCAAATGATGAGAAAAGAGTTGGGAGGGTGGGAAAGAGGAGGAGAAGCCGAACAGTCGCTTGATATTGCAAGCGTAGCACGGATAAGCCTAGGCATGGGAAGGAGGGGCAAGGCGGCTCACAGGGCTGTGAGGCTGGTGAGGTGAGTTTTGAGTCGACTCAAAAGTCACCTCAGGGGCGAGGCACTCACAGGGGCGAGGCACTCACAGGGGCGAGGCACTCACAGGGGTGAGGCACTCACAGGGCTGTCAGGCTGGTGAGGGAACCAATTTCAGTTGGAATCCCGCCGGTGAGTGCATTGTTGTTTATACCCCTGCAGGGACAGCGCGTGTAACGGGAAGGAGGCGCAAGGTGAGGAAGGACACGGAGAGAGGACGAGAGGACGCAGGCAAGGCAAGCATGGCAGAAGCATGAGAGATGACAGCAGGCAAGGCAAGCATGGTAGGAGCGAGAGTGTGTGCCGTGCTTGCAGGATGCTGAGTGAGCCATCTCACAGGTATTTCAGCAAACTGAGCGCAGACACGCCGGCAGGGATGCTTCCTGGTATCTGGTTGCTCGCAAGATCACTTTGAGAAGAATGAACAAGGAAGGAAGGCAGGGAAGAGAGGTTTTCAGTACATGAATGTTTTTACAATACAACCAAAAAAGAGAGAAGCAGGTTACTGTTACGGAAACTAAAGCCAGCCGCAAACCACGCCCCCGTTGTCGTGACCATGGCTGCCTTCCTTCCTGCCTCACTTGGCCGAAAAGGCACGGTGCTGCTGACCATTGCAGCACCAGCATTGGTGCTGCTGCTCGGCTCGGCTGTCCAGCCTGCGAATCTTGAGGCACCGCAGAAGCTGCTTCCCTCAGCCGAGCAGGCACACACGCTGCCATCCAGCAATGGTGCTGCTGCTGCTGCTCGGTTGCGCCAGCCTGCTGTCTCTTTAGAGAGCACGCAATGGCTTGCGTTCTCCCCCAAGAGAGAAGCCCATCGAATCTAACCCACATGTTCCTCTCCCCAGGAGAGAAACAAGCAGGCACTCAAGGAGAAACGCTGCTAGCTGCCAGTGCTGCTGAGGACGTCCTATAGAGCGATCTTGTTGAGCTTGCAGATTGTTAGACGTTCCAGCGAGCAGCAGTTTGCGGGAGATGGTTTAACAATCGTCTATATCAGATTAGGTTGAGCAAAGGACGTATGTTGAGCAAAGGACGTACAATAGAGTGATCTTGTTGAGGTTGGTGATGGTGCTCGGAATCTGCCCTGCCAGCTTCAAGTTATGGAGCGTCCTGTTACACCGTGTTGACAATGATAAGACAATCATAGCAATAATAAGTAGTGAGCTCAAAATGAGGCAGAAAAAAACAGAACTTTCTAGGCCAGCCATCGGAGGAGTCATCTCGCTCTCATCGCCTCTCTCGCAACCATCACGTATCCGACCCATCGTCTCACTCCCATCGCCTCACTCGCATCGCCTCACTCCCATCGCCTCGCGCCCATTGTCTCACTCCCATCGTCTCACGCCCATTGACTCATTCCCACCTTCTCACTCCCATCGTCTCACTCCCGCCGTCTCACTCCCATCGTCTCACTCCCATCGTCTCACTCCCACCATCTCACTCCCATCGCCTCACTCCCATCGTCTCACTCCCATCGTCTCACTCCCATCGTCTCACTCCCATCGTCTCACTCCCATCGTCTCACTCCCATCGTCTCACTCCCATCGTTTCACTCTCAACATCTCACTCCCATCATCTCACTCCCATCGTCTCACTCCCATCGTCTCACTCCCATCGTCTCACTCCCATCGTCTCACTCCCATCGTCTCACTCCCATCGTCTCACTCCCATCGTCTCACTCCAATCGCCTCACTCCCATCTCAACACTCCCATCGTCTCACTCCTATCGCCCCACTCGCATCGTCTCATTCCCATCGCCTCACTCCCATCATCTCACTCCCATTGTCTCACTCCCATCGTCTCACTCCCATCGTCTCACTCCCATCGTCTCACTCCCATCGTCTCACTCCCATCGTCTCACTCCCATCGCCCCACTCGCATCGTCTCACTCCCATCGCCTCACTTCCATCGTCTCACTCCCATCGTCTCACTCCCATCCCCCTTCTCACTCCCGTCGTCTCACTCCCATCATCTCAATCCCGTCGTCTCACTCCCATCGTCTCACTCCCATCGTCTCACTCCCATCTTCTCATTCCCATCATCGCACTCCCATCGTCTCACTCCCATCGTCTCACTCCCATCGTCTCACTCCCATCGTCTCACTCCGACCGTCTCGCTCCCACCGTCTCACTCCCATCGTCTCACTCCCAACGTCTCCCGTCGTCTCATTCCCATCGTCTCCCTCCCAACTTTTCACTCCCAAAGTCTCCCTCTTACCGTCTCCCCCCCACCGTCTCACTCCCATCGTCTCACTCCCATCGTCTCACCCCCACCGTCTCACTCCCATCGTCTCACTCCCATCTTCTCATTCCCATCGTCTCATTCCCATCGCCTCACTCCCATCGTCTCACTCCCATAGTCTCATTCCCATCGTCCCATTCCCATCGTCTCATTCCCATCGTCTCACTCCCATCGTCTCACTCCCATCGTCTCACTCCCATCGTCTCACTCCCATCGTCTCACTCCCATCGTCTCACTCCCATCGCCTCGCTCCCACCGTCTCACTCCCATCTTCTCACTCCCATCGTCTCATTCCCATCGTCTCACTCCCATCGTCTCACTCCCATCGTCTCACTCCCATCGTCTCATTCCTATCGTCTCACTCCCATCGTCTCACTCCCATCGTCTCATTTCCATCGCCTCTCTCCCATCGTCTCACTCCCATCGTCTCATTCCCACCTTCTCACTCCCGTCGTCTCACTCCCATCATCTCACTCCCGTCGTCTCACTCCCATCGTCTCACTCCCATCGTCTCACTCCCATCTTCTCATTCCCATCATCGCACTCCCATCGTCTCACTCCCATCGTCTCACTCCCATCGTCTCACTCCCATCGTCTCACTCCCATCGTCTCGCTCCCACCGTCTCACTCCCATCGTCTCACTCCCAACGTCTCCCGTCGTCTCATTCCCATCGTCTCCCTCCCAACTTTTCACTCCCAAAGTCTCCCTCTTACCGTCTCCCCCCCACCGTCTCACTCCCATCGTCTCACTCCCATCGTCTCATTCCCACCGTCTCACTCCCATCGTCTCACTCCCATCTTCTCATTCCCATCGTCTCATTCCCATCGCCTCACTCCCATCGTCTCACTCCCATCGTCTCACTCCCATCGTCTCACTCCCATCGTCTCACTCCCATCGTCTCACTCCCATCGTCTCACTCCCATCGTCTCACTCCCATCGTCTCACTCCCATCGTCTCACTCCCATCGCCTCGCTCCCACCGTCTCACTCCCATCTTCTCACTCCCATCGTCTCATTCCCATCGTCTCACTCCCATCGTCTCACTCCCATCGTCTCACTCCCATCGTCTCACTCCCATCGTCTCACTCCCATCGTCTCACTCCCATCGTCTCACTCCCATCGTCTCACTCCCATCGTCTCATTCCCACCGTCTCACTCCCATCGTCTCATTCCCATCGTCTCACTCCCATCGTCTCACTCCCATCGTCTCACTCCCATCGTCTCACTCCCATCGCCTCACTTCCATCGTCTCACTCCCATCGTCTCACTCCCATCCCCCTTCTCACTCCCGTCGTCTCACTCCCATCATCTCACTCCCGTCGTCTCACTCCCATCGTCTCACTCCCATCGTCTCACTCCCATCTTCTCATTCCCATCATCGCACTCCCATCGTCTCACTCCCATCGTCTCACTCCCATCGTCTCACTCCCATCGTCTCACTCCCATCGTCTCGCTCCCACCGTCTCACTCCCATCGTCTCACTCCCAACGTCTCCCGTCGTCTCATTCCCATCGTCTCCCTCCCAACTTTTCACTCCCAAAGTCTCCCTCTTACCGTCTCCCCCCCACCGTCTCACTCCCATCGTCTCACTCCCATCGTCTCATTCCCACCGTCTCACTCCCATCGTCTCACTCCCATCTTCTCATTCCCATCGTCTCATTCCCATCGCCTCACTCCCATCGTCTCACTCCCATCGTCTCACTCCCATCGTCTCACTCCCATCGTCTCACTCCCATCGTCTCACTCCCATCGTCTCACTCCCATCGTCTCACTCCCATCGTCTCACTCCCATCGTCTCACTCCCATCGTCTCACTCCCATCGCCTCGCTCCCACCGTCTCACTCCCATCTTCTCACTCCCATCGTCTCATTCCCATCGTCTCACTCCCATCGTCTCACTCCCATCGTCTCACTCCCATCGTCTCACTCCCATCGTCTCACTCCCATCGTCTCATTCTCATCGCCTCTCTCCCATCGTCTCACTCCCATCGTCTCATTCCCACCGTCTCACTCCCATCGTCTCATTCCCATCGTCTCACTCCCATCGTCTCACTCCCATCGTCTCACTCCCATCGTCTCACTCCCATCGCCTCACTTCCATCGTCTCACTCCCATCGTCTCACTCCCACCTTCTCACTCTCGTCGTCTCACTCCCATCATCTCACTCCCGTCGTCTCACTCCCATCGTCTCACTCCCATCGTCTCACTCCCATCTTCTCATTCCCATCATCGCACTCCCATCGTCTCACTCCCATCGTCTCACTCCCATCGTCTCACTCCCATCGTCCCACTCCGATCGTCTCGCTCCCACCGTCTCACTCCCATCGTCTCACTCCCAACGTCTCCCGTCGTCTCATTCCCATCGTCTCCCTCCCAACTTTTCACTCCCAAAGTCTCCCTCTTACCGTCTCCCCCCCACCGTCTCACTCCCATCGTCTCACTCCCATCGTCTCATTCCCACCGTCTCACTCCCATCGTCTCACTCCCATCTTCTCATTCCCATCGTCTCATTCCCATCGCCTCACTCCCATCGTCTCACTCCCATCGTCTCACTCCCATCGTCACATTCCCATCGTCTCATTCCCATCGTCTCACTCCCATCGTCTCACTCCCATCGTCTCACTCCCATCGTCTCACTCCCATCGTCTCACTCCCATCGTCTCACTCCCATCGTCTCACTCCCATCGTCTCACTCCCATCGTCTCACTCCCATCGTCTCACTCCCATCGCCTCGCTCCCACCGTCTCACTCCCATCTTCTCACTCCCATCGTCTCATTCCCATCGTCTCACTCCCATCGTCTCACTCCCATCGTCTCACTCCCATCGTCTCACTCCCATCGTCTCACTCCCATCGTCTCACTCCCATCGTCTCACTCCCATCGTCTCACTCCCATCGTCTCATTCCCACCGTCTCACTCCCATCGTCTCATTCCCATCGTCTCACTCCCATCGTCTCACTCCCATCGTCTCACTCCCATCGTCTCACTCCCATCGCCTCACTTCCATCGTCTCACTCCCATCGTCTCACTCCCATCCCCCTTCTCACTCCCGTCGTCTCACTCCCATCATCTCACTCCCGTCGTCTCACTCCCATCGTCTCACTCCCATCGTCTCACTCCCATCTTCTCATTCCCATCATCGCACTCCCATCGTCTCACTCCCATCGTCTCACTCCCATCGTCTCACTCCCATCGTCTCACTCCCATCGTCTCGCTCCCACCGTCTCACTCTCATCGTCTCACTCCCAACGTCTCCCGTCGTCTCATTCCCATCGTCTCCCTCCCAACTTTTCACTCCCAAAGTCTCCCTCTTACTGTCTCCCCCCCACCGTCTCACTCCCATCGTCTCACTCCCATCGTCTCATTCCCACCGTCCCACTCCCATCGTCTCACTCCCATCTTCTCATTCCCATCGTCTCATTCCCATCGCCTCACTCCCATCGTCTCACTCCCATCGTCTCACTCCCATCGTCTCACTCCCATCGTCTCACTCCCATCGTCTCACTCCCATCGTCTCACTCCCATCGTCTCACTCCCATCGTCTCACTCCCATCGCCTCGCTCCCACCGTCTCACTCCCATCTTCTCACTCCCATCGTCTCATTCCCATCGTCTCACTCCCATCGTCTCACTCCCATCGTCTCACTCCCATCGTCTCACTCCCTTCGCCTCGCTCCCATCGTCTCACTCCCATCGTCTCACTCCCATCGTCTCACTCCCATCGTCTCACTCCCATCGTCTCACTCCCATCGTCTCACTCCCATCGTCTCACTCCCATCGTCTCACTCCCGCTGTCTCACTCCAATCGTCTCACTCCAATCGTCTTACGCCCACCGTCTCACTCTCACCGTCTCACTCTCACCGTTTCACTCCCATCGTCTCACTCCCACCGTCTCACTCACACGTCTCACTCCCACCGCCTCACTCTCACCGTTTCACTCTCACCGTCTCCGTATCACCGCCTCACTCCCACCGCCTCACTATTACCGTCTCACAAGGAGGTAATCATGCCGGTGGTGTCGCATGCGAGGCCCGGGGCAGTGGTGCATTTTTTAGTCGACTCAAAAGTCCCTCGCAAATCGACCACTGACAGACAGAGACACCGTCTCAAACCCACCGCCGCACTCCCATGGTCTCACAGGGAAAGAATCATGCCGGTGGTGTCGCATGTGACGCCCGTGGCCGTGGTGCATTCTGCATTCGCGCCGCTCCATTTTAGCCGACTCAAAAACAGACTCACAGGGATAGAATCATGCCGGTGGTGTCGCATGTGAGGCCCGTGGCAGTGGTGCATTCTGGGGTTGGAGTTGTCGCGGTAGGCCACCCAGCGATGGTCTGCGCCCATGCCGTCTGACAATCCGACAAAAATTTTCCTGCAACCAACCAGGTACGGGGGAGGGGGGAGAGGAGGGGGGAGAAGGGGGGGGGGGAGGAGGAGGGGAGAGCGGGAAGGGGAGTGAGCGGGGAAGGAGAGGGCTCTAAATGAGTTGTCATGACGGGGGAGTGAGCGGGGAAGGAGAGGGCTCTAAATGAGTTGTCATGACGGAGGGATAGCGCACAGCTACAATGTACTTCCGACGCGCGTATGTTACTACTCCTACGATAACGCCGCGCTACCAACTGGGTCGAAACGGGAGTGTTGTTCAAGCGCGGCGGATGCCTCTAACACTACTAGCCCACAAGCGTTACACTCGGTCCCCCCCCCTTCCTCTCCCTCCCCTCCCCGCCCGCCCCGCGCGCCCCGCGCGAACCGAAGTCCCCGTGGGCGCAGAACTTCAGTGCGCCTGCCACTGGGTCGAAACGAGGGTGTTATTTAAGCGCAACGGATGCCCCTAACATTACTACTAGCCCACACTCGTTACACTCGTTCTCCCCACCCCCCCCGCGGCCCAAAGTCCCCGTGGTCGCAGAACTACAGTGCCAACTGGGTCGAAACGAGGGTTTTATGTAAGCGCGGCGGATGCCCCTAACACTACTACCAGCCCACAGGTGTTACACTCGTCCCCCCCTGGTGCCAGCGTCCCCGCTGGCACGGAATTTCAGTGAGTCGGGACCCCGCCGCCGCAGGGACCTCGATTTCGCTGCGCTGCTAGCAGCGACTTCGCTGCTGGCTCGGCCAGCGGAGGGTCGTTCGCTGGGTTCGCAATTGGGTAACCACATTCAAGTTCTCGTTCATAGCGGAAAATGTGACCCACCCAGGAGTCGAACCCTAATCTCTGGTACCAGTACAGCGCCTCGCTACCCGCTAAGTCACAATGAGGGCGTGAATCGCGCGCGCCGAATACCTAACACGACCCCACAGGCGATGCACCTATCCTAGCGCCGTTCCTTTCCTTCCCGTCAGGCAACCCGGGATAACAATGCAGCTCGTTGGCGCCACCAGCGAACGCCATCACACGCTTTTGCAGTGCGAATACAGCCGAAACCCTAAAGGCCATCTGCCGGTTATCAGCGCCAATGTCGGCCGCTCCATGAAACGTCAACCGATCTGGTGCTACTGGAGGCGCCGCGGGGAGAAGGATCTGGCCATAAACATTCGAGCTTGGAGCCGCTAGAAACTCCAATGCCGCGATAGCGTGAGCGCCGGCGTGCACGGGGGGCGGCGCGCACGCGCGTCTGAATTCTATGCCGCCGCGCCGCGGCACGGTGACGCCGACCGTCACGAATTCCGCAGCCCAATAACTCGCACCGCGCCGCGAATGGTGCCGTGACAGCACCGTATATCATGCCGCGGGACCAATGCAGCTGCGTGGATAACCCTAAATCCTTCTTTAAGTACAGGAGATTCGCGGCTGCGACGGGCCGCGAATCGCGAGCCGCATTCACCTTGCGTGCTCGAGAGCGCCACTGCGTTGACATTCGCTACGAGGGTTGCAAGCACGGACAGCCACCACGCAAGTAACAGCGCTGAGAGCCCCACACTCTCGCGCCGGAGGCGCGCCATCCGCACGTCGTGCGACACGGGCGACTAGTTTTCCTGCGTCGTTTTGCTAATAAAAGGCCCCTGGTCTCCAAATTCTCGGCTCGAATTAGCTAGGTACTAGCAGGATGGATGACGATCGAAGCCTAGCTCACAGCGTTCGTTGCTGCACGCACTGCCTCGAAAAACGATGTATGACTTCAGGAACAGGCTTCAACAAACGTTGCCATATGCCTTTTGTGAGACCGAGCTTGTATGGGAGGCTGCTGGAGGGGAGACGCTCTGCTTGAGAGGAGACACTGTATGTCCTTCCAATCGGCGGAAAGCACAACGCACGCGTGACAGTGTTGGTACTGGAACACACGAATACACATCATTCGATGTATAGGTCCAGGGAACCAACCAACATTAGAAAAAGGTTAAGAAATTTGCAAAAGGATCATAGGAAATCAGCGCTGCTGAAGCTGTATATACAATTAATTGCACGTGTCATCTCTCAGAACTAGCTAACAGCATGCAACTTTACCTTGACAATTGTGACTAAAAAGAGTGAGATAGTTTGATTTGGGATGCGGAGATGTCTAACAGTCTGTACTTTTGAAATGTATCTACTCTAGCGAATCATTTAGTGGTCATTTGACTTCACTTATTTTGTCTTACCGTGTGGGAGAGGTGTTGAACCGTTCCAAGGGTAGCCAGCCAGGCGTGGGGCGCTGGGCCAACTGCCAAGCGCACTAGGGCCGCTGTCGCTATGTTGTGGGGATAGTGTGAATGAAATCGGACCAGAGCAGCCGAAGGAGCACTCTCCGAAATTTGGTGGGCGGAAGCTCACCAACAACCAGCCACTCAAAAACTCCCCACCACACAAAACGATTTGATCTGCTGGACCTTCCTCCCACAGTCCACCGAACGGCAGTTTACACAGCTGTGTAAAAAGCTTTTTGGTTGAGACTGCAAAACAAGCATGAGAACTAGAAGTATGTCCCATGTTCGTCTCGTGCCCCGTCCCGCGGTCAAATGTCAAATGCTTACCTGAACACCGTTGTCGGAATTTGAAAAATCCATGCATCTTTTCATCAGGGCAGTCGATACTTGCCTTCCTGTGAATCACATCTTTTACGTATTTTTTGCCCTACCCCGAATTCTTGTTTTGTGTTGTTTTCCGAACCAACTGTGCCCAGTGTAATCAAAGCCTGAAATGGAATGGCTTCAGCCAGAGATGTCAGGATCCCGACCAGCCCATGACATCCAGGAATTTGAAACTCTGTGGAGTGGCTTGACGAGCGGTGCCTGGTTCCAGAAGGGCTAGGTAGGTCGCCAGCTAAGTAAGTACATATATTATCGGGGGATATTTGTAGATGAGCTAGTTCAGATCCAGTGTGAGATGCTGGGCATATTGCAAAACGGAATAAGGGTGCGCGCGTTCGGGGGATATTAGAACGTATATTTCAACAACCTACTACACTACGGCGAGTTTTGAAGTCAACCATTGTACACCCTCATTCTCAGTCTGTGCACAATCGCCACATGCACCGAACGCTTGTAGTGACTGCAACGTGCCTAGAATGGTGCATGCACATACTCTACAAGCACAATCACGACTGCCACGTTGGTAATGCAGCTGTTGACTTTGACTGGCAGGAAGTGTACAGTGCGCTCACATGTGTGGTTGGCTGCCGTTGCTTTTCGCTCTACCATACGTTACCCCTTTCTACCGAACGTAGATATTCTGTATGTGTTTTGAACCTGTGTTAGGAATTGTCTGTTTCTTGTGTGTTTTGATGTGGAATCTTTGGCCACAGTGTAGGACAAAGTGAACAAGTCGTTTCGAATGTTACTGTTTTGGCGCTTGGTGCATGGTGTGCCTGGCAACATTAGGGGGTTCGGCCACAAGCACAGAGACGCTACCTGACAACACTGTTGTCGCTGCTCCCGATTGTGCGTAGACTGAGAATGAGGGTGTACACTAGGGATACAAAAAGTGAGCCCCAGATTTGTCTGGAATGAATAGCGCTTGCAAGTAGGAAAGACCCTCCCTTTGGGGGTTTATGTCATATTCCATAGGGCCAAAATGCTATAAGTCCTCGCAACAGAACCGCGCTGCCTCGTGTGTAGGTACCCTCAAAACACTGTTTTGTCAGCCAGCTGTATGGGGTTTAAAACACTAGAACTTCAGTTCCGGGCTACCCTAAGTGTTTACTATAATCTCTCACTTTCAGGGTAGGAACTTGCTTTCTTCTATCAGCCTTTTTGGATGAACAAGTAGCGATGGATATCGCAGATGGTCTCGATCTTTAGACTTAGATCTATCCTAGTTTACAACCGGTAAATAAAACCTAAATCCCTCAAACTTTTGGTTCCAAGTTTCCTTGTTACAGTATAATGTGTGGGTAGGATATTTACGTACATAGAACAAGACCCTATATTTTAAAAATCACCCGTCCCTACCATACCGCGAAAGATTGGTATACACAGGATGCCTAGTCCCTGCACGCGAAATTGCCTCGAAACTTTCAGAAACCTTGCACGTGTGGGTTTTTTGCGGGGCAGTTGCACCCACGTTACAAGCACGTCGACCAATACGAACCACAGAAATTGTAGAGACCGAAGTCAAAAAGTCAACGGTGAGTTACAAAAGTTTTGCCCGAAGCGAACTGACGAATTCTCCACGAAAAGCAAGAAATACTTAAGAGCCCTCTTCACAAGGCAACCTTGGGTTAGTCAAACGGGCATCCTGTGTATGCGCTCTTCCCGGAAAAGAAATCGGGACAAAACCATACGAAAATATGCGGAGGGAACGAAAATATGGTTCTAGGAAGCGAGAATGCCACGACGCTCTGTCCATTTCCCCGACAAACGCTACAGTATAATGTGTGGATAGGATATTTACCCACTGGTCCACTACAGTTCAGTAGCGTTAGTTGGACAATGTCATGGGACCTGATTTCTAGGCACGAGCAAGGTGTACAAATCGTTCCACTGTGTCGATAGATTTACAACTGGACGAAACAGCACAAATCGCACCGTGTCTCGATTGGCACTCGTTATGTTTCTGTGTACTCTGCGGGATCCCGGCTGTGACTAAGGCTACCCTGCCACCAGAGTGTGCGGGAACGCAGTCTACCAAATCAGTTCCATTGCTACTGGCCTCGAGGAAATGAGTGCAGATGATAAGTTAGGGAACAATGGGTCTGGTTTTAAAAGAATTGTGATCATTTCACCTCGTACACGTCGCTCTAGACCGGTCTTCAGCTTAAGTTTTTGGTTTCAGGACAGGATAGAATAAGAACATATGTAGGAAGAGAAGAAAGTAAAAGATACGTGTACAAGGAAGCGATCAGAACGGCCCTAGTC